AATACATGTCGTGTGTTTATTTTAAATTCAACGACGATGCGAGAAAACAATTCGCGATGAACAAAAAACGCACAATTGTACACACATTTTCTGAAGTATGCCACATTTTGTGGAATTTTATCTATAAATGTTTTTTCTTTGTTTCGTCGGACCGCTTAGATTTCTTCGCGTAATTATTTTTTCGCATTTGAAGTACCTACGATTCATTCAAATTTAAAAAAAAGAATACATATATGAACAAAAAACTTACTTGGCCGTTTTGAGTAACGGATGATTATTTTCAAGCAATTTCCTTAAATGTGGAGCAACGTTGGCCACTTCATCGCTGAGTAGCCAACGTAAACTTAGAAACGACGTTGGATAACCGACAATTTTTTCGGCTTCGCTTACAGCACGATCCCAATCGTGTTTGGGTAGTTCTTTTGTAGTAACATTTTCTAAATTTAATCCACTAGTCGATACATATGAACATTTTTGCTGTTGAATATACAGAATACAAGCAAAAACAAGATCGATGTTTTTTTTTCTTTCGCAAACGAGTGATAAGAAATCATCAGAAGGAGTGATTGTCGTATCTTTTAAAATTATGTTTTCATGTTTTTTGTCTGGCTTATTTCTGTTGAGACATTGCAATTATGCTCACCTGATCATTATGGATTTGTTGTGTATTTGACGTTAAACTACATTGTAATAATGTATGATGATGGCGATTATGTACAGACAACACATTGATGGCTCGTAATCGATTTGACGTTTTAGCCGGTATTTGCATACAACGTAATTCATTTACGATTAACGTTGTGTTTGACAAATTTTTTGGCCAAAAATATTTTAAACGATAAAACGACATATCTTTTTCTGGTATGCCTTGTTTGATGTATTGCCCAAACGCCGTTCAATACAACTCTGTTCTCGCTGTTATCGTAATTCGGTTTTTATTTTTATTCGTTTCTCTCGGCGTTCTTACATATACAGTCGAGGTCAAAAGTTTATCACTAGAAAAAATTGAATTTTTTTTATGTTTCAAATTTTCTGCAATCCAAATAAAAGCGATTTCAAGGCTAAACTTTCGTATTTTTCTAACAAACTAATATTCAATTCGTAACTTTTCCAATCAGCTGGTCTCTTTTATTTTGGAAGTATTATCTGTTATTAGGTAATTTACTAAATGTATAGATAAAACGACACAAATAATAAATTACATAGATCTACATTGAGCCTTAACTGATATTAAATGGCGATCAATTTATACTTTATTGAAGATACTGTTTAGCAGCAAATGTTCGATTTAGTTTGGGTTTCGATCGCTGAGGTGTATTTCTGCAATGCCTTTGCAAATATGCAGCAAAAAGTTTGAAAATTGTCTACTTTCGGGGGTTTTGCAAGAAGAATCATACTTTATTTTCTATAGCAGTATACCGATGTCTAGAGATGTAAAATGCACAATTATTCATACTCAAATAATAGCACAGTAGAAATGTTTTGAAAATGTCGCTAAAATTTAATGAAAGCAACGAACAATTAAAACAACGCAACAGCAATTTGAAGGTTTTTTTTTCATATTTTAGAGAATTAAAATGACGTGTGCGTTTTACTCTTCTAAACTTAATTTATTGAAATGAAACACAACCTTATTTGATCTTAATTGTATTTATTCTCATTTATTTAATCAAGTTTTTCCGTTATTTTTTTAACAAAGTATACAAATGTGGATGTTTTTTTTAAATAAATAAAGAAAATAAAATTATTAACAATTTGTGTATGTTTTTTTATAACAGAAACGGTTTCCTTTGTTGTTTTTTTTACTCAATAAGAAACCGATTTTGGACTGGATGAATCCAAAGAGGAAGTAAGTGCAAATGATGATGTATAGAGTCAGAAATGTATATTTTCAAAATACTGTATATACTGAAATGTATATTTTGGAATATTGTTTGTAAATAGAAAAGAAACAAGTGGACATAAAAAATTATGAATGTTCAAGTTGGGCATAGGATAGGCTTGAAATTTCAAAATAATATGGGAAAGTTATTTAAATCTACAGTGTTTTTCTTCGTCTATGATACAATTGCGACTTTACGAGTATTTCGGCTTTTATTTATTGCTTGGCATGTGTCTGTGCGCGCATTTTGAGACAATTATGATTTTTCAAAGAGAACAAACAAAGACACATTCGTTTTCATAATATACAAAGTATACAACTAATTTTCTTGCTTTTCTCATTTTTAAACCACTTAAAATTAGAGATTTACTTCCTAAATTCCATTCTCAATTATTTGTATAGACCCTAAACCAATTACTAACATATTCTCAATAATTTATTTTTCTTATTTTTGCACGCGCACCGGTTTAATTTCGAGCAAGATTTACATTTGATGTTGTATTATTATTATTCTTTTTTTGTTTAATTTTCAGCTTCAGTAATCAAATGATGCTTGAATGATTTTTGAATGCAAAACTTTTGTTTCGAAAAAGTGAAACGAAAAAATAATTTCGTCAAATCTCTATCTGTCTCTTCTTAATATGTCTCAGTCAAACGCTGAGTTCCAGCATTTGTATACTAACATTGTGTTCGTATAATGGTTGTTGCTCTTAAATCGGCTCACAAAGGACGGAAAGCCGATTTTATCTCATTTAAAATATATATATACATTTATATATATGTATAATTGTGTGTCTCTTTCTCTGTGCTTCTTTCTGTCTCATTTGGATTTTGTCTTTCATATAGTTGTAAGTAATAAATTGATTATTAGCTGCGTGTGAAAAACATCGCAACCACGCGCGGTTTATATAATTATATAATGTGCATTGCATATTTTTGACTATTTAAATCGCTCATCTCTACAGATCTTGCATGGCATGCAAAATATTTTCGAGGGCTGTTCGAGCGTCTGATGGTGGAAATTTCTTCAGCACATTCATGGCCGCTTGACTATGTTGACGTTGTAGATTTTGGGTTTTATCAACGCCTGGTCCCTTTACAATTTCGCTGTGCAACGTTTTAAAATCGACATTTTCCACCGACACATAGCCCTTCTTGATCAATTCATATGCATTTGGATTGTATTCAAGATGATACAAAACCGGCGC